AGCACGAGAGTGCCCCCCCCCCCCCCCCCCCATGGGGCTGACTCCTGTGCTCATCTGATTTCACTGGTGTGGTCATGTCCAGTGCTGCCTGGGACACCCCACTGGCCATGTACACCCCACTGGCCATGTAATACAAGCCCCTAGTCAGTGCTGACTGGCACAGGACTGTATTGTGACAACTGGGACTGGTGCTCCGGCACAGATTGATTCTGACAAAGATTAATAATGCAAAGAGGTCCATCCCACAGGAGTGCGAAAGGCAGCCCTGGAGCCTTGTAATGGTTTGATATAGATCAGCATTTCTATGTCATATCAACAATACATTCTAGACTTGTAAGGATTTAGAGCAGCATTTCCTAACCCTTTAAGTAATGGCTCCCTATATAATATCTTGAGGCACCCCAGTCTAAAATGTAATCAATTTTGAAAGGCACCCCTATGTGTTTGCTTAAAGTGGGGTTTAATCCCCATCCCTTTCACATCAGACCTCTGTGCGCCCCCCCCCCAGCTATTTACAGCTGTCTTTTTAAAATGTAAACCTAAAATTAAAATCCTTTTTATATCTCACAGCTGATATAATGTAGCATGTTATGCACGCCCCACAACCCACTTTAAACACCTGGTGATACTGACAGCCCCCTCTGCCATACATTGCTCTTCTTCTTCTTTTTTTTTTTTTTTTTTGTCTTGAATATATAGTGTCAGCATCCAATCAGCTGCAGTCATTGTTTGGGTATTCAAACAGCAGGGGGCACTGGCTGTCACAATGCAATCCAGCATTGTGAGGATTCCCCCATCCATGTTGTTTAGAGTGGATGGTGGAATCTTGGAGTTGTTTATTTTAGCCCGCAGGCTGTACAGGTGAAATCTGTTGGTGTACGGGCAGCCTTAAAAGAGAACTATGGGGTAACCTTTTTATCTAGGGCTGCAACAACTAATCGACATAATCGATTATAATCGATTATTGAAAAAGTTGTCAACTTTTTCAATAATCGATTAATCGGCTTCCGATCAGTTGGCCCTGTTCACAGCTCCACACGCTGTGCGCCGTACCTCCTCCCCACCTCACGCTCGCCGCTGCCAGACCCGCCCGCATCCACGCTCTTCACGCCGCACCTCCTCCCCGCCTCACACTCACCGCCCGCCCACATCCACGATCGGCACAGGGACGCGGGGAGATGTAGTAAGGAGGAGCAGGTGTGGGGGGATGACAGCCGCCGATAGACAGGCCCGATCTCAGAAGCAAGTTGCTGGAAGACTGCTCAGGTAAGCCTGCACTTTCCCACACATGGTGCTCTATAATGTATTGCTGGGATTTGTATTCCTCTATAGCTGATGGTACATTGTGCTGTACTGTATATTATACAGAGCAATGTACCATCAGCTATAGAGGAATACAAAATCCCAGCAATACATTATACACTGTATGTATAATGTATTGCTGGGATTTGTTGTATTCCTGGTATATAGCTGGTGATATTCTGCACTGCACTGTATAGAGGACTACAAATCAAGGAATAATACATTATACAGCGCAATGCGGAATACCACCAGCTATAGAGGAGTAAAACAAATCCCAGCAATAGTACATTATACAGCGCAATGCAGAATACCGCCAGCTATAATGTACTATTGCTGGGATTTGTTGTATTCCTCTATAGCTGTTGATATTCTGCATTGTGCTGTATAATGTACTATTGCTGGGATTTGTAGTCCTCTATAGTCGGTGCCATTCTGCATTCATTGCTGTTTAATTTTACACTTTCCTTTTCACTATATTGCACACCACACTATTTTTTTTCTTTTTTACTTCCACCGCTCCAAGCTTGCTCCTGTGATGGAGTGTAATCTCAATACAAACTAGTAGTCCATCAATGGAGCCATTTTTTAAATTTTATTTTATTATTTAGCCGATTAATCGAACTTAATAATCGGCTAACTAATCGATTTTGAAAATAATCGTTAGCTGCAGCTCTATTTTTATCCCATATTTCCCTTTAGGGTCACGTGAGGACATATATTAAAGTTGTCCTGTGACCCAAAGCTCAGTAGTCTGCTTTGGGTCACTATATACTGAGACTGCCGCAGCCGGAATGGATCCCAACAATACTATCAAGATCCACCCAGCTGGCTGATTGACAGCTGGCTCTGCCTATGTAGCGCTGTGCCCATCCTGCACCCCGTCCGTTCCTTCACTCAGTGCTGGAGGATCGTATATGGGAGGGGGGAGATGATTGAGAAGTGTGCAAGTGACGATATGTGTTCGCTCACTTCCCGATATATAGAGCCCCGACATGTGACAGTTTAATTGTCACACGTCGGCTCTTAATTGAAGATGAGTGAAAATCGCTCACCTCATAGTTTTTCTTTAAGGCGGGCATGCACAGTGCAAATTCTTCAACTGGCATCCCTCGATCATTTCATGGAGGAAGACGGTCGGGAAAATCTTCCTACGGCCAATGAGCTGCCAGCTCTGTTAGGGTATTCTGACAGCGGCCATTGTCCGAATACAAATGAAACAGCGGGAGATTCCTTGCTTAAAGCGATTGTAGCATTAGTGGACAAATCTGCTCCATTTATTTTTCATTAAACCCATGGATTGAAGGAAAAAAATAGAGCAGTTTATGATCAGCTTTATACTCTCCTCTCGGGCGGCATTTGTTTTCTTTGTTCCAGTGCTGTAGCCTTCGTCAGTGTCATTGTCATTCCACGCTTACATAAGTGTCAGATGCCTGCCTCCTGCTGCACACCATGGTTATGCCTCCTACACATGTAGAACTCGGTACAAGACTCAATACCTTTCCAGAATCATAAAGCCGATTTAAGGTCGCTTGAATACCTGCCACAGAAAAAAACAAGTTGCTGCATTACACTGCAACCCACCACAAGTCAGCATTGCAGTGTGAACAGAAACCATTGACAACACTTGTTTTCTGTGTCCTGGTGGTGACCTGCATTGTAATTGTAGACCCCCCCACACACAGATTACTGCACATAGTGTGAAACTAGATATAAAGCTGATGCAGTTCTCAATATTTCTGGATTTATTTCTAAAACTTTAGGTGGATTGCCATGGCACTAGCGCCCCTACTTGGGGCTGTGGACTATAGGAAACTCCTAAATGCTATCCAGGGGGGTAGTGCCATGTGAACGGTATCGCTTTTATAAATAAAGTTGTGCGAGTCATCCAGGCTGATTTACTAAAGGAGTTGAGAATCTTCATACAATTAATTTTGTGTATGTGTGTGTATATATAAATTTCACACAAAAAGCTACAGTAATTCCTTTTCACTTTGAATACTCAGTCATGTGTGTAGATGAATTGGGTAAACAGGAATTTGATTTTCACATGATTAGATCATTCGAAGTGAATCTTTGCACCATTTACTGATTGAAGAATGAAGATTATCAACTCCTAAAGATCTCCTAAAATGTATGTTAACTCTAAAAATTAGCATCTTTTATTTGCTCTGTTTTGGTCTATGTTAAATATGACATTGGGAGCTAGTGCAAAAATAACTGTTGATCCTGCCAGAAATCTTGTCAGCTGATAACTTTCTGCGCTGATCTGCCTCTGCAGCACTGAGGACTATATTATGTAGAAGATGGGAAGGTTTTCTTTAGTTCTTTCCTAGGGTGATGATGATGCTGTTCAATGGATACAGTACAGTGAGTGTTGTCACCCTAGGACAAAGTTTCTGGCAGGATCACCAGGTAAAATTATAAGTCTACCTTCACACTAGGTGTGATTAGATGCGTTTTTATATGCCTTTTAAAATGGTTTTCTAAATGCTTATATATGCATGTAATGATTTCCAATGAATCTATTCACACATTTGAGGGGACTTTATCACAACTAGAGCAGCTGTGCATGGCAACCAATCAGCATCCACCTTTCATTTTCAAAGCTTATCTGAACAGACTGAAGAGGGAAGCTGATTGGTTGCCATGAGCAACTGCTCCAGATTTTGTTGCTCCCATTTTGATAAATTTCCTCCATTGTGTTTTAAATGCTTTTATCTGCAGTCAGTTTCGCTGTGTTCAGGAAAATAGAAGTGCATTAGGGATGTATAACCGCATGTTACCACAAGATGCATTTATTTGCAGAAAATTTATTGGCTACTTCAATGGACAAAGGACACGTGCATCTAAACGTATGTGTGTAAATGCACAACATTTTAAGCATCTAGAAGCATTAAAAAAAAAGAAGCATCTAGCGTAATAGATTTTGCAGACAGATCTCTGCATAAAAATGCAAGTGGACAGTGTGAGTGAAGCCTTAAGTAAAAAAAAAAAAGCCTGGAAAAAAAAAACTAATGCAACCGCCACTTCCAAGGACTAGTAAGCTATTACAGTTTTGTTTTTGGGTTTTACTAAACTTTAAGTGTAACTCTCTCTTTAAAAAAAAAAAATCCTCTTAAAGGAGAACTATGGGAACTATGGGGTTAGGGCTTTTTCCCCATAGTTCTCCTTAGGGTAACGGGAGGACACAAACTAGCGTCCTCCCGTTACCCTAAGCTCAGTATACCACGAGCTGCAGCTTGCGGTATACTGAGACTGCCGCAGCCGGGTTGGATCCCGACAATACTGTCTGGATCCGCCCAGCTGCGTGAGTGACAGCTGGCTCTGCCTATCTAGAGGCAGAGCCCCCTCCCCCGTACGTTCCGCCAGTCATCGCTGGAGGATCGGACGGGAGGGGGGGAATCCTGAGTGACAGTCACGGCTCTTTGCAGGGACAGGAGCGAGAAGTGAGCGAGCGCCGGTATGTGATCGCTCACTTCCCGATCTATTGAGCCGACCTGTGACAGTCTCATTGTCACAGGTCGGCTAGAACTATGAGGATGAGTGATTTTTCATATTTCTATCTAGAGGTAGAGCCAGCTGTACCCTCCCCCGTCTGTTCTGCCAGTCAATGCCTCCCCTGTCACGGCTCTCTGCAGACACAGGATCAAGAAGTGAGCGAGCGCCGGTATGTGTTCGCTCACTTCCCGATCTACTGAGCCGACCTGTGACAGTTTCATTGTCACAGGTCGGCTCAGATTATGAGGCTGAGTGAAAATCACTCGCCTCATTCTCCTTTTTAAGGTTAAATACATATATTGTTTGGAGTTTAGAAAACATTTTTCTCATCCTTGCCTTTCTTTTGTTGTGAAGAAAAACATTGTGTCTCCCAAGGATTTCTAAATAGGGGAGTTATTCTTAATTAAAACCACCTGAGCACAGTCAGTGTCTGCATCCCTTTTAGATGTACCTGCTCTTTATTGTAGGGTGTATGTATTAATATATAATCTCAGATTTTTGGGGAAATGCAGTGAGCCAGTCACACAAGCAGGAGTTAGATTTTTGGGGCTGTTGGTATAAAGCAGGGGTGGGCAAACTCTAGCCCTCCATCTGTGGTGCAACTACAAATCCCATAAGGCATTGCAAGCAGCCATAGGCATGACTCCCGGAGGCAGATGCATGCTGGGATTTGTTGTTTGGCCACAGATGTAGGGCCGGAGTTTGCCTACCGCTGGTGTAAAGAGCGCCTCCAGAAATGACAGCATTTGTAGATTGAACGGAAGGGTGATTTATAATTAGAGTACATTTATAAAATGATGTATAAAGAGTAGTTTTTTTTTTCTTTTTTTTTTTTTTTTTTTTTTTTTTTTCTCCCCGTAATGGTTTTCTGATCTTTTCCATATGGAATCTTGTAGATCTTCAGTTCATTTATCTAGCACGTCTGATGTCTGGCTGCTGCTAACTAGTCACATAGAAAAATAAATCTTTTCATTGAACGGCAGCACTAGAGGTTGATGCAGTCCTTTTTGCAGGTCGAGTACAGGGAAATGGACGAGAGCCTTGCCAATCTCTCAGAAGATGAGTATTATTCAGAAGAGGAGAGGAATGCAAAGGCAGAGAGGGAGAAAAAAGTCCCCCCACCTCCTCCTCAAGCTCCACCAGAGGAAGAGATTGACAGTGAGCCTGAAGAGCCCTCAGGTAATTTTACTTGGATTTGATTGCTTTGTACAGACTAATGTCTAGTTTTGATTAACTAGTTAAATACTACTTTATGTCCTCCTATAATAGTTATTTTTTTTAATAGTCAGATTGCTGCTCTATACAGTAAAATTTGGATTTTTCATGCTGTAAAATAGTCACCTTTCCTCCCCATGTCGATTCACAGAACGCCTCGTATTTTGTAAATGGTTTACACAATATAAGGTGAATTTTCATTCATGCTGAACCCCTCCTTTTCCCTTGTCCATTCACAACGCCTTGTATTTTGTAAATGGTTCACATTATATCAAGGGTTCTGTGAATGGACAAGGGGAGAGAAGGGGCATAAAAACAACACTATTGATTCTCTGTATAAGAAGCGTGGTGCTGGAACTATAGTACTAGCTGTATTTTCCAGCTTGAAGGAAAGTCCCAGTTTTCACAGTACACTACACCTATCCACACATGGGATAAACAACATTAGAAGTTACTTCCCCCCTCACCGTAATTCATTTTTAAAAATCTTGTTCCTCTATACATAGTTTTGTAATTATAATATGTATTTGGGGCAACCATATATTTTAATTGGATATTTAGCTTATTTCTGCAATGTAGAACTACAGTGGTTGTGCTTTACTGCACCTTCTGACAATACAAGTCAGCTGACTCAGTGTAAAGAATACACTCCTCTGTTTGCTGCTATATTGAGGCCAATTTACTAGTGAACATTCACTTCACTTATCCAATCATGTCAAAAGCAAATTCCTGTTTTTCATCTGCACATGATTGGGTATTCAAAGTGAGCACAGCTACAGTTTGATTGAAGATTTTCAAATTCTGTAGTAAATCAGCCTCAGTAGTAAGACACTGACAGTTTGTCCATTCAGGGCAAAGTAATAGTGCCTTGTAATAGTATCTGTAAGATATACTTTCCCACCTGCTCCAATACTATAACAGAGCAGGGCTTCTGGGTATTGGGAAGCACGCAACGGTGATTGGGCCTGAGTTTTCAATCTCGAGGCCCAACCATAGTTGTATGGAGGGCTCAGTGACCTCTACCTCGGTAAGCTTCAACAGTGTCGTTCACTTGGGATGGACTCCTGCGTGCGTCTCACAGGAATTTTACACAGGCATTCTGATCAGGTCTGCCTGTCAGTCCTTCAGGTGGACCTGATCCAGAAGCTCAATGTTAAGGTGCCCATACACCTTACAATTATCTGCAGATTGTCTGTGGTCAGATGGAAAAAGTGCAACAGATTGGCCCAGGTGGAAATTACTCCATCCACACAGTTAAGTGTAGATGGAGGAATCTGTTGCACCTTTTCCATCTGACCATAGAAAATCTGCAGATAATTGTAAGGTGTATGGCCAGCTCTAGTCCATGGGCAGCCAGATGTAAGCGGATGTGTATTTACATCAGATTACCTCTAAGCCCAGCTAGGGCGGGGTTAAAAAAAACCTGTTCCATTTTGGCAGACTTGATATGGATGGATCAGAGGTAATTGGATGTAAATGGACACCTACATGCTTGCATCCACCTCCCCATAGACTAACACGAGTCTGGTTAGTTCGTCTGTACTGTAGTGCTGCAATCGGCAGGGGATCTGTGCATGAATCCCCTGCTGATCAAAGCAGAGACTTTGTCCCTGTGAAAGGGGCCTAAGACAGACTTATGGCTTGTTTACATGCCTGTAGAGCTATGTTTCTCTGCACACATGCTTCTCTGTTAAAACTTGTATGGTGTTAACATGGCACATACAAAACAATTGTTTTCTATTTGCACCATACATGTGCAGCTGTGTGAACAACAAAACGCAGCTCAATGACATGGTGTGAACAAGACCTGCTGTAGTAGCTAAATGATCTTGGCTTAAAGCTTATCTACAAATGACTGGGGGAGAAAAATAAAATATATATGTATGTATGTGTGACGAGCAGACGGTGGAGCCCGACAAGCAGCTTGCCGGCCGTTGTAATTACATGGCCGGCCGGGAGCTTTACAGTCAAGCGATCGAGCGTCTCGAGAGACACTCCATCGCTTGTATCAGAAGCTGTCGCTGCTGTTGCCGGTCCCGAGATCCGCTGTGCCCGATGCGGCTGGGACCGGCACGGCTCTGTGACAGGAGATCAAAGGGAGTTCAGTATACGAACTCCCTTTGATCTCCTCTCAGTCCCCGAATGCAGGAAGTGATGTATATTACATCACTTCCTGCATTCAGTGTCACTCTCCAGCTAGAGAAGCCGATCTCTGCTTCATCAGCTTCTCTGGAGGTCCCTAGGTGACATTAGGGGTCTTGGAGACCCCTGATGTCTCCATAAAGAGGACCTATCATGTAAATTGGCTATCCCATAGGGGGCTTCTTAGCCCCCCATGTAATGGCAATAAAGTTGTTGTATGTAAAAAAAAAAGTAATACAAAAATGAAAGATTTCATAAAAAAATAAAGAAGCATAACATTTATTGTAAAAAAAAAAATGTTTAAGTCCGCGCCCCCCTAATACACACGCATATATGCGTCTGGTGCGCCTACATGCCGCACATGTTGCATATCGCCGCAAACTGAGCGAGAGCAATAATTTTAGAGTCGTTAAGGCGGGTTCACACCTGGGCGTTTTACAGCGCTGATCGTCGTGCTGTAAAACGCTCTTCAAGTGAAATCCCATTATTTCCTATGGGCATGGTTCTCACTTGGGCGTATTTCAGAGTGTCGCAACGTGCTGAAAAACGCCCTATGCCCAAAGAAGTACAGGAGCTTCTTTGGGGCGTATTTCCACGCGTATCCATTAGGATACAGCCGGCTAGCCCTCGTAAACGCGCGTTTGACGCACGTTTTGTGGGCTGCAAATCGCGGTTAAAACATGCACCGCAAAACGCGTGTCATATTATATACCTCCAAAAGAAAGCTCTATCTGTCCCCAAACTTTTTTAACATAAATTACAAGGCTATAGTCCGATCATTCTGACTGGTGAAATTTTTTACTGACTGGTGAGACACTAAAAAAATTTCAAGCCCTGAATGATATATATATATACATATATAATGCATGTGTGTAAAAATATGAGTTATTAGAAATTTTTAGCTCAATACTGCAATAATAACTATAAATATATGCTTGCTGAAATATATTATGCCTTCCCACGGGTAATGTTTAACTTTTTTTTTAATTCAAACTCAACTCATTTAGTATATTCAGGTGTAGAGGGAGCAGCCTTCCAGAGCAGACTTCCTCATGACAGAATGACTTCTCAAGAGGCAGCATGCTTTCCAGATATCATCAGCGGCCCTCAGCCAACTCAGAAGGTCTTCCTTTACATCCGGAATCGCACAGTAAGTGGAACAAAAACTCTCGGCTATATATGCTGTGGAGTTTCTTATTGTAATTGATGCGCAGGTCGTCTTATTTCTTCCATGTCATTTGTCATGTTTGATTAAAGTTGCAGTTGTGGTTAGACAGTCCGAAAGTTCAGCTGACGTTTGAGGCAACCCTTCAGCAGCTGGAGGCTCCTTATAACAGTAAGTTGCATTTAACCCTCTTTTGGATATTGCAATTCTCTTGTTTGCGATGGACTGCTAATTGGGTTTGTGTTATTTAGGTGACTCTGTGCTGGTTCACAGAATACACTGCTATCTTGAAAGGCACGGCTTAATCAACTTTGGTATTTACAAGAGACTGAAACCTTTGCCTAGTAAGTACTCAAAATTGCTAGTTGTCTGAATCACTCACTCCCTCTCCTTCTCTTGTCTGTAGTTGGCAATTGGAAAACCTTAATTAGCTCAGTTGTCAGAACAGTCATGATATGTTTATGATCCAATTAATGCTAGTGTTTTTTTTTAACATTTAATGACCTATTCGAAGTAGTAAAAGAGATCAGCTACTCTGCATAAAGCAATGGAGGTTAAGTGGAGTAGCTGGCCCTTCATTCCCTCTTTGTGGCATGCTGAACTACTAGAATACCTGGATGTTAGGTCCAGAAGTGGTGTTGTCATTGTGCACTCCAGCATTGGTAAAGATAGACACAAGGACTTTATTGGTGAATTCTTTAGCTCATGGTAGAGCCATGGGGTTTAACGGTCCATAAAAAAAATCTCGTAGAGTACAGACTCCTCCCTGAAGTGATTGCTATGTTCTTCTCAAAGTGCAATAACACTTCTTATTTGCCTAGACACTTCACAAATAGTGACACATTCAGTAGCATAACTTAAGTTGTACAGGAACAGTAGTCCTTGACTTATAACAAGGAAAGGTCATTTATGCTAACTTAATGGAGTTTTGTGTGAGTAAAAGTAATCTGGTACTTGCAAATCTTGTCAGTCTGCTTTTAATGTTGTATACAGTTTGTAGCAATGTTATTTGGGGCAGACATGCATTGGTCAATATAGACGCATATGCGTCCTGCTGTACAGTGCTTACATGGTGGTTGTGTTACTGCTCCCTCTCACAATGGAAATCTGACGTGGTGGACTTTCTGTGTGGCTGATATTTTAGTAGAGAGGCCTATTGATGAAAATGGCAGATCTCGTCTCCCTATAGTGCCGTACTTACAAACCCCTACATTTACTACAATGACGAATAGAAGAGCAAGCACGTGCCTTATTTGCGAACTAAAAATACACCAAACATTTCCTTTAGCAAGTGGTCAGGTCCGATATGACAGCAATGCTCTTGTGGTTGCAGGCAGCTTAGGAATACATGCAAAACAGGAAGTGGAGCATCTGATTTTGTGTAAAAAGGTGTCTGATGGAAAGAGTTTATATTGCAATTCCATTGTCCGTTCTCATTTTTTACAAATCTTTCCTCTCAAACTGTTTATGCATTCTAAAAATGTTTCTACATGTTCATTAATCGGAGCAACTTGTCCATGCTGATTCAAATTGGAACCTCAGCCCAAATGTCTCTTGGATTGGATAGAATGGGCCTTGGGAACTTAGATGGGGTTAACTGATGTAAATCACTCCACAAATGCATTGACTGGCGTTGCACTTCAATATTGCATGCCCATCCTGGCCTGCTAACGCTGGAATGAAACTTCTTCTTGTTTCAAGTATACCTACATTTTGTACAAAACTTAAGCACAGGGGTAGCCAAACTTTGGCCGTCCAGATGTTGTGATACTACAAGACCCATAAGGCATTGCAAGATTCTGACAGCCATAGGCATGACTTCCAGAGGCATGATGGGATTTGTACTTTCAGTACAGTGGGAGGGTAGAAGTTTGGCTACCCCTGCTCTAGCAAATGTTTTGTTAGAATAGCAGCCTTCATGATTCTCAATGCAGGTTTGCCTTGATTCAAAAGGAGCTTACTTTGTTTGTCAGTCAATGTAGTGTTTTAAAGGTGGTGGCTTCAGATGCATTTTTCAGGGTGTTAACTACCGAATTGCATATTGCCTACCTTTTTGTTACAGCACAAGTAGACAAGTGATCATGTTTTGTGTCAGGTTTGACTGCGTTTTTGTTCTTTTCTTCTTACCATTAGCCAAGAAGACGGGGAAAGTGATAATCATTGGCTCTGGAGTGTCTGGATTGGCTGCTGCTCGCCAGTTACAAAGTTTTGGCATGGATGTTACCATCTTAGAGGCAAGGGTAAGTATAGGTCAATATTTTGTGAAGTTAACTGGCTCTAGAACTAAGGTCTTGTAATCCCATTAATGCTGCATGCAATGTAAACGTTCACCCCTCTGCCTTGGCCCTTTTAAAGCGGACCTTTATCCATATCTTCAAATAACAACAAATACACCTTTTTTATAAATGTTTAGTAATGACAATCTACAAACACACAGATAATTGTAGACTTTTTTTTTGCATACCTTGCTTTTCTTTCCCGGTCTTCTGAGAGTGGCAATTTTAACTAAGAGCGGGTTACTAGATCTCTTTACGTCCTGGAACTCTGTGACGTGTGATTAGGACACGTGACCATGCACATCATCTCAGGGGAGGGTAATTTCTTTCCCTGAGATCTCATGAGATTACATATGAGATTTCCCAATACTGCTCTGCTGATGTAACCTTCCCAGGATATTTAGCCAAAAAGGTAAAGGTCTGCTTTAAGAGCAATTTCCATTTTAATGTGGGTGTGGGACTCCTGTTCCCTTTTTGTTGTGGCCTGACAGACATTTGATCAGCCATGTATAGTGGTGCAATGTTGTATTCTCATGATTGGGTTTGATCCAGCAAGGTGAACTTTAATCCTGTATTGTGGTGGTTTTTTTAAATCCAAAAGATCTTATATTAGCAGACCTCTAGATCAGTACCGGAACCTCAGGAGTCAAGACCTGTGATGACAACTTGCTGTACTGCTATTGTAAATCTATTTGAAGAAGCCAAAGTGGGAGAGCCATCAGTGTAGATCCTGGTAGAATAAAGAAGGATTTGATCACAGACTTGAACTACTATATAATGCGGAGTTGCATGGAAGTCTGTGATGGAAAACTTCTTCTACCTAGATTGGGATTTGTCATCTCCATACTTTGACATAGTTCAGTATACAGGAAGAATTCTAAGGTTTAGGTTGCACAGCTGTGAGGGTTGGTGGTATGCTCCCGTGCCAGGTCATTGCGGCACATGATTTTTTTTTTTGCAAGTGGTAACACTAACTTTCTGTTGAATAGGACCGTGTAGGAGGAAGAGTTGCCACATTCCGGAAGGGAAGTTATGTTGCTGATTTAGGTGCAATGGTGGTCACAGGGCTTGGTAAGTTTTTTTTTTTTGTTTAATTTATGCATACTGTATATAGAATCTAAGGCTGGGCACACACCTTACAACCATCGCAAGACTTTTGTCTTGCGATGGTTGTAAGGTACTTTAAAAAACGTACGATCTGCCTATCTTGCATAGGCAGATTGTACTTGCGATTGATTGCAAGCCACGCCCCCTGAGGGGCGGGCTTCAGATGACCGCAATGCCGAACGGGCAGTGTGCGCTTGCGCACACCGGCCCGTACGGCTTTTATCGTACGGACATGCCACAAACCCGCCGAACATCGTTCGATGCTCGGCGGGTTTTCGAACATGTCCGTAAGTTTAAAGTCGTGCGACCTTACAGTAGTAGAGGTCGCACGGCTTCCACACACCTTACGATAATTGTACAATCGCGGGATTTCCCGCGATTATCGTAAGGTGTGTGGGGACCTTAAGATCAGTATGTATACTCCATGCAAACGTCAAATCTCAGCAGATAGAATATGGGTATAGTGACAATATTTTAAGCTGATACAGACTGATAGAAAAGAGCCAACATGATGCAGTTCTGTATTCATTAATGCATTCTTAAAATTTTTCCTTAAATGCAAGCTGTGTAAGTGCCTGATTTTCGTTTAGCTGCTTGCAGCTCTTTTGTAGTGGAGCTCAGATTGGAGGAGGCAGAAGCAGCACAGATGTTCAGTTATGCTGCGGTGCAAGGAGAATGGTAATAGGTGAAGAGAGCGGAGTGACGGGTAGATGAGCTCATAAACCTGCTGCTTATCTTTCACTGTCCAGTCACATGGACTAGACCTGTAAGTGTTTCTGCAGCAGAGAACAATCTGCTGTGCTATGTGGCATTTTAGGATTTAGATGGACAAAAATAAAAGCTCTTTTAGCAGGTCAGGTTTATTTGTATAAACTGTATCGCACATACATTAAGCAATTAAATATTGCATGTTTTCAAAGTGACACTGTAAAAATAGCTGGTCATTATTGTATTAACACTGTGTACCGTTTAAATATAATTTAGATATGAGATAAGCTAACTGTCAGATCCCATCAGATTGGCTGAGACTAACTCTTGAAGTTTGTAATGATATCAAGTCGCCACACCTTACAGAGTTCTTCATAGTTTAGCTGTACTGGCACATTGCAGTTTTATTTTGCATAATGCAATTCTAGCAGTTACTCAAGGGTTAATCATGAACATGTACAAACGTTTGTGGTGGGAACTTTTTCCCCAGGTATAAACCAATTGCATAAGAGAAGTATGCAAATTATTTGTGCAGCAATGTTCTTAAACTGAATACATTGTTGGCAAGGCCTGCAGCACCATTCATAACACATAATGAAATAATAGAACAGCAGCATACATCTAGTCTACAATTTATAAACACAGTTTGGGATCCCTAGTATGATAATATTGGGCTACGCCGTGTGTATTGGCAGCATTGAGGGAGCAGCCAAGCTGTTTGTAAAGTGTAGTTGTGTGTCAGTAGTCCCTCCAATGAGTGTAAGCCATGCAGTCTCATTTTCTTGTTGTGGATTTTGGGCATGTGCTATACATGATCCAAAAGACGTAATGGAAGTACACAGTGCCCGTGTAGTACTCCTTGTTCTGATCTGACTCTTCCCTCCCTTGCTGACTGGACCATATTTATGGTCCATGTATAATACAGCTAGGGAGGCAAAACACTATTATATATATATATATAGTAGAAGTGGGTACATGAAGTGAAATTGTCTTTGAACATATAGTTGTGTACAGAAGGAAATTTTCCCAATTCATCTTCCATGGCAGCACAGGAGAGAGAAAGGATCCACCCACCTAAAACCAGAAATGCATCATCCACAATTAAAATAAAAGGGGCGGTACAAACCAACCACCTCACTTTGTGTTTCCTCCGGCCTAACAGGAACATTGTAACCGTTTGTTATTTTCAGAAGGCCTTTGTGCTAGTTGCAAGGGCCTCCCAGTGTATGCTCCCTTTGTGAATCGGGGACAGTGGACCTGGACGGGTTGCATGCCTGGGCTTGTCCTAGGAGTAACCTTTCTGGGGTTATCCTAATTGTGACACCCTTCCTCCCCATCTCTTTCCTCAAGGTTTCTTTCTGCCATGAGGAGAAGCAACCATCCTCTGGTGCATAACGGGTCTCGCAGAGTTTTCCCTTACTCGCATGTGGTTCGGCTCAGAGTTCTCCTCTGCATTGTCTCTGGAAGAATGGGGTGAATGAGAAACCATTGGTGGCCATCCATAGTCCCTATGTTTTCTGCCATGTTGTGGATATTCACATCCAGTAGCATCCTAGTGACTCTTTGAGTTAGCAGCTATGCGTTGGAGTCATGAGTATACCCTGGCATCTGTGGATGCTGGCACCGAGGTATACTCACAACTTAATCGCATAGCAGTTTAGAGAGTGCGGCGGGTGGGGGATGGAGCCAAAAGCGGTCATGAACATGGAGTGATCCAACAGGCTCCCTCTGGTCAGCAGTGCCACACCATGCAGCCTGATTCCGCTGTGTCCGTTCCAAACTGCTGAATCTGAAGCAACCAACGGCTCCAAGGTAGGTTGGAAGTCTTTAGGCAAGACTTCTTCCTCCTACCCCACCCATACTGTAGGTAGGGCACAGTGGTGGGAGGAACCCTTGGGAGGTGGTCCTCCTTTTGGCTGTTGGTTGCTGCGGGTTGTAGTGCCTCTTACTAACACAGGTTTTGTCTGTTATACATTTCTTCCATCAGTGGTGTAGCTGATTGGAGGCAAGGGCTGCAGCACATGCAATTTTCATTCTGCAGAGCAGCAGTCCCAAAAATATGAAGCAACCTACTTGCACCTTCCTACACTTATATCATTTTAATGCGCAGGAGCATTGGGGATTGTATCTCCATTTTCACACTTTCCTTTTGTTACAGATGTACATAAGGAGAGTTGTCAGCCTAGGATGTTTTTTTTTTTTTTTTTTCTACTTGCGTCAGACCTTTTGGGTCATAGGCAACATTCTATCTGCATAAGCAAGGCAAACCTAGGCCCTGTAACAATTGCTTTACGAACTCCTTTGCCTAAAACATTGGGGTGTGCAAGAGCACTGGAGGTTTATTTACTCCATTTTTGTGCACTCACCTATGGTTCACAAGGAGACTATAGCTTAGGGTAACAACCCTTTCCTAGACTGAGCATAATGTTTTAATACGGATACGACATTAATATCTGACAGGCTCCAATGGTAAACCTTTGCATAGTGCTGCAGATATACTGTGGGCTTATGTACGCTCATTAACATATGTAGGTGTTAAGCTGGCCACACGCATATAGATTATCTGCAGATTTTTTTTTTACGCTAAACCGTGTGGATGGAGGAATCTCTCACTGGGCCGAGCTTCAGTATCTTGCTAGTCAGCCCTGCTGGCCCTCGAAATACCTGACCAAAGCCTGCATCCAATCCAGATTGTTCATGTATTTTGAGAGCCAGCGGGGTTGACTAGCAAGATACTGAAGCTTGGCCCAGTGGGAGATTCCTCCAGCAACACAGTCTGTTGCTCTTTTTCCATCTGACCATAGGAAATCTGCAGCTTTAAGGTGCCCATACACCTTGCGATTATCGATTATTACGATAATCGCAAAGTGTATGGAAGGCGTGCAACAGTTTCTACTGTACGGTCGCACGTTTTTTGTCTTACGAGCAGGTTTGAAAACCCGCCGAGAATCGTACGGTTGTCAGCGGGTTTGTGGCCTGCTCGTAAGATAAATGTCGCACAGGCCGGCGCACACTGCCCGTTCAGCATTGCAGTCATTGGAAGCCCGCCCCTCAGCGAGGTGGACTTATGATGATCGCAATTACGATCTGCCTGTCCAAGATGGGCAGATCGTAGGTTTTTTTTCAATGACCTTACAACCATCGCAAGACAAAAGTATTGCGATGGTTGTAAGGTCTATATGGCCAGCTTTAGACTTCTGATTGCATTAGCACAATGCCTCAGAGCTAAGAGAGCTTATTTTGCTGTTAGTGATGCTGGGCACACACCTTACAACCATCGCAAGACTTTTGTCTTGCGATGGTTGTAAGGTAATTTAAAAAACGTACGATCTGCCTATCTTGGGCAGGCAGGTCGTACTTGCGATGATCGCAAGCCGTGCCCCCCTGAGGGGCGGGCTTCCGATGACTGCAATGCCGAACGGTCAGTGTGCGCTTGCGCACACTGGCCCGTCTGGCTTTTATCTTACGAACATGCTACACACCCGTGGAACATCGTACGATGCTCGGCGGGTTTTCCAAAACATGTTCCTAAGAAAAAAGTTGTGCGACCTTACAGTAGTATAGGTCGCACGGCTTCCACACAACTTACGATAATCGTGCGATCGCGGGATTTCCCACGATTATCGCAAGGTGTGTGGGCACCTTAACTGTTTTACCACCAGGTCTGGGCTTATTGTGATCTCACAAACTGGAAGGCTATGATTGCGTTCACCTGAGTGGGGACTGTAGGGCTCCTTCAGTCCTGAATAAGTGAACTTTACTTAAGGTGCCCATACACTGCTCGATTCTCGTACAAGAATCGGGCGAAATCCCGCGATCGTACGAGAATCGAGCAGTGTGAACTAAGACGTGCGACCGTTTCTACTGTACGGTCACACGTCTTTTGTCGAGCCAACATGTTCGAAAACCCGCCGAGAATTGTACGATTCTCGGTGGGTTTCTAGCCTGCTCGCCCGATAGCTGCGGAACGGGCTGTTGTGCGCATGCGCACACTGCCCGTTCTGCATTGCCGTCATCGGCAAGTACGATTTGCACGTCCAAGGTGGGCAGATCGTACGGGCTTTCAAGAAGCATACGACCATCGCAAGACAAAAGTCTTGCGATGGTTGTAAGGTGTATGGGCACCTTTAGGCTTACTTGCGTGTTTAGAGGATGGGAGGATACAGATGCAAATTCCCAGCATATAGAAGAGACTAACAACCTCTTAAGGATGTTATATGAGACTCTTAACACGCTATATGCGGTTATGTCTTTGTCTTTCTGTATGATCACAAGCATCTAAACGTTTTAAGGTGGGGTGTTGCAATCTACAAAATATGTTTTGCAGGCTGAATCGATCCATTAATTGTATCTGATTTACTCTGAGTTGCATAGAGAACCTCAAGGTTGTAACCAGAGTGTGCATCGCTTTCACAGTCCTTGATGAGGGCTTTGTAGCTGGATTGCTATGGCGTTATCTCACCTGGACATAGGCCACACGCATGAATATATTTCAGTGGTGGCATCATTGGTTGTGAGATAGGAAGCTCAGTGTGAATCTCAGTATTTGTACGTACTCTGAGCACTTGTATAACTATACTCCTCACTAGATAAACCTTTTACTGCCTTAGTGAAAGCCTCTTTGGTTCATGAGGTAGTTATGAAGCTCATTATCTGTCCATACCTTGTGTATTGGTATTACTATACTGTCTCCAAAATATACAATTTTACTGCTTTTAGTGAAGCATGATTGGTTCAGGAGGTAGTTATGAATCTCAGCATTTGTGCATTCCTTGTGCATTGGTATTGCTATACTGGTTCCAAAATAATTAATGTATTGCTTTAGTGTAGGCATCATTGGTTCATGAGGTAGCTATGAATCTCATCTGAGTTCATACGCTATGCACTTTACAACTATACTACCTACAAGATAACTGATTTTCTGCTTTAGTGATGCATCATTGGTTATGATATAGTTATGAATCTCAGTAATTGTATTATCTGAATTCATACTTTGTGTATTTATAGAACTATAAAATATACAAGATAACCAATTTTACTGCTTTCGTGAAAGCGTGATTGGTTGTGGTGTAGTTATGAATCTCAGTATCTATATTTCATCCGAGTTCACTTGCTGTGCGTTTTTGTATATCTATACTATCTACAAGATGACTGAGTTGCTATTGTATAGCTCTACAGTACTTAGTTCTGTGCAGCCTCAGTTGTATGGCGCCCATTGGGGTTGCAACAATAAACGATTTCAGGCAAGCCAGTTAATATAGCACCAAGCCCATGGCAGATCAATGTGTAGTACTTGTGCATTTTAGGAACTGCACCATGATGGTGAACCTCTTGCTCAGCTCCTGTACATTACTAGGTGGTTAGGTTCAGTGATGTCCTGTGCACTCTATGCATTTCTTGCAGCCTGTTTTTATGACAACACTTAACCTTTTGCATGACTAGTGTTGGGCTTAAGCACCTTTTTTGTGTTCCTCTTGGTTCACAGTGCTATTCTTACATGGCTTCCCACTTGATTAGGCAAGCCATGTTATAACGGTAAACTTTAGTGACTCATTTATAGCAGCTGCTTGACATTCTGCATATCAGGTGGTGGTCTTATATAAATTGGTGGCATCACATTGATAAATTGGCGGCAGTATAAGGCTACATTCAAACTTGCCACTTGTACTTCATGGGTCTATATGCAGGAAAAGATCTAACTTGTTTCTGTGTATATAGGTGCTCTAAAACTAGTGCACGCCATTAGCTCCAGATAGCGTTGGGGGCAGGGGTTCTTCTATGTACACTTCAGAGTCTGCTGTTGTGTAATCCCGGTGTGCCGCACCTGAACAGTTGGTAGATTGGGGGGTTTGTATCTGTTGCTGGACAGGGATAGATTCCAAGAGGTTAACCATTCCTCTTTTTCTTCTAACCAATCCACTGAGTAGAAGCAAGTTTTTCTTCATCTAGACATTGAAAGGTGTCTGGTGTTACCTAGAAGTCAGTCTCCCTTGGAGGCTATCCAAGAATATTTGGCCTGTTCAGGGCCTAAGAAAGGGTGCAAAGCATCACAACACCAATGCCTGGTGATGTATGGCACTCTACAATAGGGCGTTCATCATCTTAGGCAGAGGAAGCGGAGGTTTCACCAGAGCATATCTGGAAGGAAGCCAATCTCTTGCGTTGCCCTGTAGAGTTGTCATCCTCCACTGCTAAGATCAGACTTTTGGCAGAAATGA